AGGCAGGAGGCTGACCCGGCCGCTTCCTAAGTGCGGTCAGGCATCTCGTGACCGCGGCGGGCGCCTGGGGCCCCGCGGGGGGAGGGAGTGAGGGAGGGCTGGCCCGGGCAAGGAGCAAACAAGAAGGCCCCCGCCCCTCCCCCAGGCTGTTGCCAGTGAGGCTTTCGGCCGAGTTTAAAACCCCAAGCCTGAAATCAGAGGTAGAGTGGGGGGTTGGAATAATTCCCCACTCTCCACCCTGGGGTGTGCGCTCCCCGCCCGGAAGGGCTGACCTTGGCCGGGGGGAGGCTGGAGAAGGGAGTGGTGAGCGCCCGCACTGGGCTCCCAGCCCGTCGCCCCCTCGGATTCCAGGCCCGGCGGGGGCCGGAGGAGGGGGCCCCGGACACACACACGCGCGCGCGCGCGCGCGCACACACGCACACACACACACACACACACCCCACACACACACCCCCCACACACGCAGCGCGCGCCAATGAGCCCCGGCCAAGCGCAGGGGGCGGGGTTTTCCCAGGCTCGAGCACAGCAGCTGCTATTTACCTTCTTGGCTTCTCCTGGAGACTAGGAACCAGCCCCCGCGCTCCGCTGCCCGCCGCCACCACACACATCCTCCCGGCTCGGCCGCAGCCGCGGCGGCAATAAAACATCCTGGCACGTGCTCGGGCTCCAGGCGCGCCCTCGCCGGCCGGCTGATGTCAAACTGCAGCTCGGCTGGTGTACCTCTTAAAGGGCCCGCGCGCGCCGGATGCCGAGGCTGCGCCCGCCACCCGCAGAACGAAGAGGGGAGCGGCTGCCGCCCTGCCAGCCACCTCTAAGTGCGGCAGAACCGGGAGCCCGTGGGTGGAAAGAAAAAGAATGGCGAAAGCACGTGCGCATCCCTGAGGCATTGCCATCAAAGCCCCCACCTCTTATTCATCTTTCATTTGAAATTCCATTTCCTTTCTGCCCAGTTGGAAATTATTCCGATTGTTTCCTGGGGAAGCGCGGGGTCCAAGGCCACCACTCCAGAAATGAAATGAGGAGCGGGTATCAAAAACCACCTTGTTCTGAAATATATGATGGAAGGCATTTTTTTATCTGCATGCAAAATAGAATTTTTTGGTTCTTTTCCTGAATGATCGACTTTCATCTCCCCCCCCCAAATTTCACCCCCACACCCATTTCTAAGCGGAAAATATAGATGCTTCGGTAACTCAGCCTTATATACATTCCCCCTTTTAAACACTGCAAGCATAATCTTTTATATCTGTCCTTCGAAACCTTTAAAAAATATTTTCACATGAACTTATTAGCGTCAAAGCAGCTTTATTACACATGTGAAAGGAAATAAAGAGCAAAGACCCTAGCCGCCCCGCCCCCCCAAAAATAAAATAAATTAGACTAGAGCAAAACCAATGTGGAAAAAAATCCAGTCTAAAGCGAAGCTCGGCAGGGAGAGTAGCAAAGGGTTAAAATCCTTTTGATTGACGTTGTAGCCTCCGGTGCCCCGGGCTCAGGCGCGCGCCATTGGCCGCCAGGCCTTGTGCCTGGCGGCCAATGGGGGGGCGCGGTCCACGAGCGGTGCCGCGTGTCTCCTCCTCCCATTGGCTGAAAGTTACTGTGGGAAAGAAAGTTTGGGAAGTTTCACACGAGCCGTTCGCGTGCAGTCCCAGATATATATAGAGGCCGCCAGGGCCTGGGGATCACACAGGATCCGGAGCTGGTGCTGATAACAGCGGAATCCCCCATCTACCTCTCTCCTTGGTCCTGGAATAGCGCTACCGATCTCAAGTAGCCATAAGATATAATAAACCCTCAGCACTTGCTCTGTAGTTTTGTGAAAGTCTCGAGTAAAAGGGACATAAGCAAAACATTTTTTTGTGTGTGAAGGACTCCAAAAATAAAATTCTCTAGGGATTAAAAAAAAAAAAAAAAACAGAAAATGCCGGCTGATATAATGGAGAAAAATTCCTCGTCCCCGGTGGCTGCTACCCCAGCCAGTGTCAACACGACACCGGATAAACCAAAGACAGCATCTGAGCACAGAAAGGTAAGGGCAGTACCTGTATCTCTGCAGCCCCAAGAAATTAAGCTGGAGTTGGGGGCTCTTATCCCTTGGAAACCCCGGGGGAAATGGCAGATCCCATGGGAACTCAGGGTTCGTTTTTATTTCTTTACAGTCATCAAAGCCTATCATGGAGAAAAGACGAAGAGCAAGAATAAATGAAAGTCTGAGCCAGCTAAAAACACTGATTTTGGATGCTCTTAAGAAAGATGTAAGTGAATAATTCTGTCTTTTTTTAATTTTAAAAAAATGAAATGCTATTTCTCAAGTACTAAGAATGAAACTCCCCGGTCGGCGGATCTTCCCCTCCAACACTGCTTTTTCTGAGGCGGGAGGAGGGCCGGGCCCCTTTGGCTGGGGTCTGGGGACGTATGGGCCGCGGCCGGCGGGAGGGACCCCCAGCACTCCGAGGCTGCTGGCGGGGGTCTCACTTTCTTCCTTGCCTCCTCTTCTGTGCAGAGTTCGCGGCATTCCAAATTGGAGAAGGCAGACATTCTGGAAATGACAGTGAAGCACCTCCGGAACCTGCAGCGGGCACAGATGACGGGTGAGGGCGGCTTGCCGCGTCCCCCTCTGCGGGCGTCCCTCTCGCCCCGCGGTGATTTCTTCCAGACTTCCGCCCGTGGTTGTGAGAGGCATTGAGCTACATTTTACGGCCTTGGCTCACTCTTGCGTTCCCACGGTCTGGGGCTTATTTATAGCCACAACTCCAAGTTGTTACTGTTCCGGAAAGGGAGGGAGAGAGGTTGTAGCGGCGAGGGCGGCGGGCGGCTTGACAGTGGGGGAAGCGGGTGGGGGCGAAAGGACTTGGAACTGGCGGTTTTGAGCTGCGTTGGAGCCTGGAGGTCATCTGGTTTAGCACTCCCTCCTCCCCCATTACAGAAGGGGAAATGAGGCTCGGATGGCGAGGAAGGGGGGAAGGGCATTACCCAAGGTCACATCGCGCGCGCTGAGAGTTAGGGGGCAGATATAGGGCCGAGATCGATTTAAATAGAATGACAGGGAATAGAGAAAGGGAGCGTCTTGACTTAGGTCGCCGAGCTAATGTGGAGAGGCAGATGGTTTTTCTAAACCCATTCCCCTAGCCAGAGGCAGTTCTGCGGGCCCAGTGGTCAGGGAAGCACGCCGCGGGGACCTCCCAGGGCGGAGGCAGTGGCCTCGGGGCCAGGGCCTTTCGGTGACCTGTCTGTCTCCTTCTGGCCTGCAGCCGCGCTAAGCACAGACCCGAGCGTGCTGGGGAAGTACCGCGCGGGTTTCAGCGAGTGCATGAACGAGGTGACCCGCTTCCTGTCCACGTGCGAGGGCGTTAACACCGAGGTGCGCACCCGACTGCTCGGCCACCTGGCCAACTGCATGACCCAGATCAACGCCATGACCTACCCGGGACAGCCGCACCCAGCCTTGCAGGCGCCGCCCCCGCCCCCGCCAGGACCCGGCGGTCCGCAGCACGCGCCGTTCGCGCCGCCGCCTCCACTCGTGCCCATCCCCGGGGGCACGGCGCCCCCTCCCGGTGGTGCGCCCTGCAAACTAGGTAGCCCGGCGGGAGAGGCGGCTAAGGTGTTTGGCGGCTTCCAAGTGGTGCCGGCTCCTGATGGCCAGTTTGCCTTCCTCATCCCCAACGGGGCATTCGCTCACAGCGGCCCTGTCATTCCAGTCTACACCAGCAACAGCGGGACCTCTGTGGGCCCTAATGCAGTTTCGCCTTCCAGCGGCCCCTCGCTCACGGCGGACTCCATGTGGAGGCCGTGGCGGAACTGAGGGGCTCAGGCCACCCCTTCCCCTAAACTCCCCAACGTATCTCTCCTCTCTTGGGGACACTAAACAGGAACTTGAACGCTGGAAAAGAAGAGGACTTTTGTGATTAAGTGGTTACTTTGGTTTTTTTAATTTCTAAAAAGTTACTTTTTTGTAGAGAGCTGTATTAAGTGACTGACCATGCACTATATTTGTATATATTTTATATGTTCATATTGGATTGCGCCTTTGTATTATAAAAATTCAGATGACATTTCGTTTTTTACACGAGATTTCTTTTTTATGTGATGCCAAAGATGTTTGAAAATGCTCTTAAAATATCTTCCTTTGGGGAAGTTTATTTGAGAAAATATAATAAAAGAAAAAAAATGAAGACTTTTATGTCTTAGAACTGATTATTTCAGAATATGTAATAAAAAAGAGGCTCTTGGCAGAATTTGAATTACATGTAATCTGAGAATTCAGGAATTGGCTCTTTTGTTATTCAAAGAACTTTTTTTAAAACGCCTCAAACCTTTCACCAACCCTCTTGGAACTAAATTCCATTAAATTTGCAAGAACGCATCTGATACGGCTTTTCTGATCAATTTGTGGTCAAGCTCCTAAAGGATTTCCAACATTATTTTAGTTGCAGTTGGGTAAGTCATTCAGTCCTGGGTGTCATACTAGCTCCTTCAGAGGAAGGTTGAATGCGACTGAATTCATGAAGTTAATGGATCCAGTACCATTGCCCACACCGCATTAAGGGAGGTTCCTGCAGCGCTACTCCCCTGGAGTAGCTCACCAATATCCAAAATAAAAACACTCAGCCGCTACGGCCTCCGGCCTTCAAGGGTTGGAGTCGTCCTTTAATTAGTCAGTCCTTAGGTACAACTAGACACTCCCTCGTGCCAGCCTCCAAAACTTTGAAATGCCTCTCTGCACCCTCTTCAAGCAAGCTGAGAAGGTCAACAGATTCCTTCTGCCAAGGGATAGCTAGTTAGACTCCCATGTGGAGCCCAAGTCCAGATGATTAACACCAGACATATGTTTTTGATAAGTTTCTATGCATGGCTCTAATAGAGAAAGCATGTGGGGGCTGTGCTGGCAGGCACACAGGCCATCTTCCCTTTTTAATACAAACAGCAAGCGACCCCTTCGCTTGGTCATGCCCCATTTCCAGGCAAGATGTGGGCTCCAGATAGGAGCAAAAGGCTTGTCTCGGGTTTCAGCTCACATAACCTTCCTTAACAAGTCCTAACTCAAAGCGGACAGCTTTAAACTGTGCCAGGATCTGCAGGGAATTTCTTCCAAATCCCATCACAAAGGCTTGTCAGATTTTGTCAGATTTG